CCCCCCCCCCCTCCGCGCGTGGGTGCACAATTAAAAGAGCGCTCTGCTGCGTCGGGATTCTGAGGTGCATGATTGACGCTGAACCTAAGCTCTACATGCTACCCAACCCTAAACTGACTGGAAGAATGAGTCTTCTAGAGATGACCTTTGTTGCGATGTACGGTTGGCTTTTAAGTCCCGTTTCCATTTATGGTCATTACGCAACACTTCCGAACCTGCCGCAATAATCTAGATAGGGTTACAGTCAAGTGATTCTCACCGCCGGGTTGTTGCTCTTATAAAACAGACACTTCAGAAATTCACATCATGGTTCCCTGCAGCCACTCCAAGGGAACACCCGCAATTCTGAGAAACTCCTCCCAAAGCAATTCCCCACCCCCCAAACCCTAAACCACTAGAATTCCCAAACAGGGAGTCTTATAAACAGCGGTCATAAACCGTACACTTTCTGATCCTTCACCCCTCTGGTCAAGGAAGACATGTGGGATGGCCCACAAAAGGAAACGCAAGAATAGCCAAGGCTTTAGGGTTTAGGGTCTAGGGTTTAGGGTCTGGATCCTTAGATTATGGCCATATTGAAGCGGGGTTCGTTTTGAGGATGCGGCTGCAACAGCCATGTACTTAAAGCCCGTAACACGCGAGAGCTGTAGCTACATCACGCATCTTTTGTATCAATCAGAATCTCGACGGCTATCTTATCTTCACATTCGCTTGGCAGATAGAATTAAGCAACTTTCCAAAGATTAGTCATTAAATTATTACAGTAAGATGAGGGTGATTGAGTAAAAATCCGTAGCCCGAAACTTCAGGTTGTGCTCCTCGTGCTCCCCTTTCACCGGCAAAGTTGTTAGGGAACCTATTTCCTTTTTTCCAATTTGTGGGTTTCCGCTTAATGCTGGTCGTCTCCCTCCTTAATTCATTCTTGCAATGTGGTATTTCCCTAAACATGGGCGCCCGATAGAGCACCAAAATACAAAAGTCCTTCTTATTGGGCCCGCGCATGGGTACCCCCAATTTTGGGAAACCGCTATTTGTAGTGCAGTTGCCTTCTGAAAGCAGCTCTTCGTCAGTACCAGATGCGGATGTAGCGCACAATGGAAATTGTCATTCCGTTTATGCCGTGTAAGCACTCGCACAATAACTGGCTTCTCCATCTTACCATGTTGGACCCTTCAATATTTGACAGAAGTCGGCTGTTGCAAAAACTCTAAGACTGCCACGCAGCCTATTTCAATATTCAGGGTCTGGGGTTGTCCTTGCAAGAAACAAGATAATGAGACCATTACTTGAAGGTCAGGGGGACTTAGTAGGTATCCTTGGAACTCTAAACCCTAAACCCTAAATATTCTCCAAATGAAGCTACAGACTAAGTCCCTTTGACCCTCCAAGTATGAAGCTCTGTTGGCGTGGTTGGATATATGGGTTCTGCGGTGTAGCCGGCCCATCCTGAGCCCTGATCCCTGCACTGGGTTTAGGGTCTAGGGCTTAGAGTTTAGGGCCCTAAACCCTAAACCCTTCTTCTAGGTCCAAGCTGTTTGGTTTTGGTGTTTTGGGACTAGGGGCGGCTTGGCCATAAGATGTGATCAGTCTTATTGTTGCCAGCTACCTTCTCGTGCTTACTATATGAGCTATAGACTAAACTCCTCGCATCCCCCTTAATAATCCCTACAGTAGTCCCCTGTATAATCCCCTACATTACCCCGCTTTAAGGAGTTTAGACTGTAGATTCAATTATGGTTACGGCTTCTGTTCCTGGAGTCGTGGAACCCGGTATGTGGTTTCTCTGGGATTATTGGGATTGTGAACATTATGTGCTCTGTATAGGTCGCGTCAAGCCTTACAACACGCGCAGATCAGGAACACAAAGACCGCAATAGTATTTTCCATCGTCTTTTCCATTATCCCTATATAACCCCAAATAGTAATATCCATTTTCTCTTTCCATTATTCCTATTACAGACGTCCTATATTGTAAGCCCTAAAGTTGATCCCATAAAATCCCAGACACCACACTCTGAACCCCCAGGCCCTCAGTCTGCATAAAGCTTGCCAATGTGGGGTTTAGGGTTTAGGGGAATGGAAAAGAGAATGGAAACTACTATGATGGAGGATCAAGCAGACAAGAACATGGAACATGACATGGAATCTGGAGATTATAGGGATTAGGGGGATTAGGGATTTCCAAAAGTAGGGGGTACCATTGGGGGTCCCCGTAGTAAGGGTTATAGTATTTAGGGGTCTCTATTGGGGTCCCCGAATTTTGGGAAACTACCATTTGAGCTTCGACACCACACAATCTATCGGAGTTCCAGGTATTTGCCCAAAATCTAGTCGACGGCCTTTGTGCAGGCTCAAACGTTCATGCCCTGCGCATATCAGGACTCCAGGATCCAGGGCAGACACCTAGCGCCTCAGATCGACATCTGCCATTTAGGGTTTAGGGTTTAGGGTTTGGGGTTGAGGGTTTGGGGTTTAGGGAAATATTACCTACATTGGGTCCTAAAGTCTACTATACCTCAGTGTTTTAATCCAGACGGGACACTTCCTGGGGCGTTTGAGACGGGGCCCTGGACCGGAGCATGGGCGCCAATTCTAGCTCCTGCTGCGAAACTGGTTAGATGTTGAGGAACTTACTTTAAGGTACTGTAGTATGTAAACCCCGTTATGTACTATATACCCATATTATGGTGACTTATCTTAAGGTGCTAGAATAATTACGCCCCATTCTGTACCATAGTATACCCATATTATGGTAACTTAATTTAAGCTCCGTAACAGCAACCCAGGAAAGCTAGGCGGGCGATGTGCCTGCTGTGGAAGTTTTGGGAGCCCAACAGGCTGAGGAGGATCCTACTGCTTCCTCAGGACGGAGTTCCAGCAGGCGCTGCATGTCAAACATCGCATCCCATGTGTACTATAGTCTAAACTCCTTAAATGGGGTTATATAGGGGGATATAAAGGGGACTACTATAGGGGTTATTAACAGGGATACTAGGAGTTGAGACTATGTCTAATATAGAAATACATATGTAAAAAGATAACTTGTTATCAGTCTATACATAATTTTCCTACAATCACATACAAGAGGGAGTAGCTGTAGGGACAGGATCTATTTTGAAAGTTTTTGCTGGAGGTCAGATTTGAAACCTCCCAGACATTCCGTCCGGAGCTGCAGAAGCTCTTTGAGCTCCGAGTTGGAAATTATGGCCATGGGGACAGGGAATGCAGAGTTGCCGATGGTCCAGCGAGCGATCGGATTTGACGTGGCGAGGGCGATAATGCGGGGGATCCCCATAGCGGTCACCCTCCGCAACTTTGGCCAGTTATGGAAAACCTCACCTCTAGATCTAGACAGGCATTCTCAGACAGAGCTGTGGAGCAAGTCGCAGCCTGTTGAGAGCTTCGATGTCTTCTTTTCGCATACCTGGCAAACACCAGGTAGCAAGAAATTCCTCTCGTTACTGTTCCAGTTCGGGTGGCGCACGGCGATGGCAAACTGCGTGTGTTGTACAACGCTAGTGTTTCTCCTGGCTGCCTCTGGTGCACTGCCAATGACGTCCTTAACCTGGCCAGTCAATGTCGTTGGCTTCGAGATGTCCTGCCCTTTTGCTCCATGGATCTACCTCACTGGCACCCTGTCACTGCAGATTTTTCTCTTCCTGTTTCCATATTGCACCCGCGCGAGCTCTTCGCCGAAATGCTTCCTTGATGTGGTCAGCATTCATCAGACTGACAAGACCATGAAGCAGCGAGGCGTGTACGGGCTGGGAGGTTTCCTGAGTGTCTCGAAAGAGATGCGTGTTCTGTGGTCGCCGCCGTACCTGACTCGCTCCTCGACTACTTCTCACTAGCCTACACAACGTATCAGAGTTGAGGTTTTTGTGGACTTGCCTTTCATTTTCAGCACTGGAAGTTGTTGCAGATTTTGGTTGGGATACGTAAGGCAGAAAAAGCAGTCAGTTTTGGGGTTGTAGGGAGTTGTAGGACGATACATCGGTTTGTACTTCAATGCAAGGTCCTCAGATCCCCAGGGTTTACATGATCAGTATTTGTTAAATCAAATGTCAATGCAACATGAAACAAGCAAAGACGAGGCAAGACCATCAATGACAAACTGAATAAATGAAGGTAAGCAAGGACAAGTCTATCAAAGCACATGGCAAAGTTCTTGTCCAGGATTTGAGTTCTGTGTTTCGCGGTACTCGTTCAGAACTTCATGTTGCACATTTGTCGGTGCAGATCCCTGGGGATCCAAGTATACCAATATTACCTACATTGGGTCCTAAAGTCTGTAAATATTAAGTACATTGGGCCCCAAAAGTCTGTAAATATTATCTACATCGGGTTATTTGCATTCCCTAACGGATTGTTAAAAGGTTTAGGTTCGATGGTTTAACGTATCAAGGTGCGGATGTCGTCCAGCATGAAGACCTGACTTAAGCTCCGGGGAAACTTGAACCCTAAGCCCTAAACCCCACACCCTAAACCCCATCCCCTGATCTCTAAAGCCGAAGCCCTTTGAACCCTAAACCCTAAACTCTACTTCTAAGCCCTAAGCCCTTAACCGTACTCCCTACAACCCTTAACCCTAATCAGGGTTTGGGGTTTAGCAATATCGAGCTTATGAGCCGATGTAGCCCCTTTTTCGGCCCGGAAGGCTTGTGGAGGAGCACACCCTAAACCATGCTGGAAGATATCCACACCTATCCCTGACCAAGCCCCCAAATCATGCAGGGGGGTGGCAATAACAAAGTTTGCCCAGAGGACCTTTCATAGTTTCTTGTTGGATTTATGTGTCTTTGTTTCTGCTCACGTGTTTTCACGTGCAGCTGGTGTATCCCCGCATGTCTTTGACTGTTTGACTTTGTCTTGACATTGGATAAAGACGTTTCATGTCGGGTCCGTGGCTCAACGACTTTACAGGGTGGTCGTACTTGGTTATGTGGGGGTGTATGCAGACCACAAGGAACATGATTTAGAAGGTTTGATCAAATTTCCGGTTGGCTTAGTACCCACTTGAGCTTGTGGAGCAATAAGACATACTACGATTGAAAAAAGAGACTTGGCACGACTGAAGAGGTTCAATGAGGTTGAATAAACTTCAAAAGGGCTTCATGAGATTCCATCAGTTTAGGACCCCAGTACATTCCAAAGCTCCCTTAGGCACCTTAAGCCGCCGTCTTCACCCCCCCTCCTCCCCTTCCGCAAGCCTTCTCTTCAACCCTTTAAAACATCCTCTGCGGGACCGCTTTAAGGCCCCCCCCTCACCACTTTGGCGCTGGTTGAGAAACTTGCGTGACATAGCGTACCCTAAACCTTGGGAATTATGCTACTGTAGAATCATAAGGTCATGCAGGATGTTTCGCAACAACAGTAATACTCTGCCAGCTAAGCCCAAAACGTGCCCTTGACGTTATGTTGTGAACTTTAACATCTACACGTTTTGTCCTTGGGTTTACGGTCTATAGGCTTCTGCACAACCTCCGTAACCTCGCTATTGGGTTTAGGGTTTTGTATGGCTTCGGTACGGCATCCATCCCTGTATCCTTGGGCTTATAGGTTTTCGGACCACAATCCGCATCGCGGTCATGGGTGGGGTCTTTAAGAGGTTGCGAGACAAGAAAGAAACATAAAGATAGTCTTTCACAATTCCAATTGGTCGAGGATCCGGACCATTACACACGGTTAAGGAGAAAAGTGTTGGATTCTGGGTTCCAACAAGCGAAATGAGCTTGAGGCCTTTGGTGTGTCTTCGAACTCGCGGCCTTTCGCAAGGCGAATCCATCCAAGCCTTTGAACCTCAAGCCGCTCTTCGTGGAAAGCCAGGTCTTTCTTCTCATCCTGGCAAGTGGCCTCTGCGCTGGAATCTATATTGCAGTGCGAACTGGCCAAGGCATCGTTGCTGTTGCGAATCTTGCCATGACGCCTTTATTGCTCTTCGTGCACTTCAACCGAAAGCTCATGCGGGAGGAGAAAATGCTTAAAGCATCGCTCGAGACTTTCGACCTCAAGGACGTAGAATGCCACCTGGCAGCGGACAGGGCTTTCGTATCACTGGCCATCACTGCTTGGTACGGAAGCGAGGAAAGCGAGGAAGCCTTCACAGAGTACATCCGTGGCCCGCTGAGGGATGAGCTGCTGGCAGGCTCCGAACTGGAGCTCCCAATGAAGTCACTTGTTCCGCCGTTTGACGTCTTTAAACTTGTTGGTCTTGTTACATTGTTGGTTGCATAGGTCTGAAAATTAAAGCCTTTGCCTTGGGCATTGGGGAAGCCAAGGTTATGGGTTGTTTATCGCAGCAAGCCCGTTCTGCATGCTCATCGATGTTGTTGTAGCCATGATCCGCGCTGGCGCGCCGGTCGATGCTGTGCTCGCTGAGTTCATTGGTCTAGGGCTTGGAGTCACTTTTTTCTGGAACATGTTGTGCGTCAAGATCATGTGGACTCTGTGCAGTCGATGGGCCTGCCATAGCTCATCATGGGTCTGGGACTGCCTTGTGAGCTTGGTGATTTTTTTGGTGTTTCTGCTTCTCCTTGCAGTAAGCAACATCATCGTTACCAGCCTCTTGACAATCTCGACGACAGGCGCAATGGCTGCTGGCATCGGTTTGTCTGTTAGTGCCCATCCTGGTCTATTCTAATGTCCATGATGGCTGCCTGGGTCGTCCATGTCTCAAATTTCCATGTTCCGCAGGTTGTTTCACTGGGCACCCAGGGGGATCCAGAAAGTAAATGCTTATAAAGGTTCCTACATGTTCCTACAACTTACCCGGTGATAGTATCCGGCAAACAAAGGGGTAGTACTTTCTGGATTCTTGAATTTCAGCAGCGGTCTGACAGACTTGGCTCAACCAGAGCATTGTGGCCAGCAGGCCTAGCACTTGACAATTCCAAGAACAAGACAGGTACTTGGAGGGTCATGGGATCTTAGTAAGTAGGTTAATAACCCCTATAAGCCATATAGTAACCCCAAGTATCCCCATTACTAACCTACTTACTGAGCCCCCATGACCCTCCACATACGGAGACCATTCCCGTTTTCTTGGAATGGATGACGGTGATTCTTTTTATTGTTTGCAGCTTGAGCTTCAAAATCTTCAAGACAACCATCTTTGCTACACGAAGTGGTAATAAATTACATTGAACCCACCTTTTCAAACCCTGAGCCCTAAACCTTCCGTATCTGGTGATTCTGCAGCGATCGAAGAGGCTGCGGCATAGCTTCGGCTTCATACTTATTCCTGTGAGGCGGTCTCCTTCCCTGGTTTAATGCCCGTACGAAGTCAGTCAGCCTGGGCAAATTATGACGACCTCATCCGGCGTCACCTCAAATGAGCTATAGTCTAGACTCCTTAAAGGGGGTTTACATAGGAGCGTATAAAGCAGTAGTATTATAGGGCCTATTCAGGGGGATACTAGGAGCAAAATTGGGGGACCTATAGACCACAAACTACTATAATCCTTATTATTGGGACTCCCTAACACCTAATTTTGGGCAACCCTACATGTTACATGAAGCATAAAGTATCCAACGCCTTTTTCTACTCGTTTGGGCCGTTTGGTTTAGGACATACCCTTGCGGCACACCCCGTAGCTTCACTAAGGGTTTCGGGTTTAGGCTTTTGGGTTCTACGGTTCTACAGGTTAAAGCTAAGCTGGCTGGGCCTACATAGAATTTGCTTGTCAATACGAAGTAGTGACTTCCGCAATTTCATTATGAGCCTAAGGGGGCAGTACCTGTGACCCCTATATAGCTCCTACATAACCCCTATATAACCCCTATAAGCCCCGTAGTTTCCATTCTCTTTTCCATTATCCCTATATAGCCCCAATATGCACTGACATCTAAATTCCAAGCCCCTAAGCAGTCCCACATGGGAGCTTTTCCAACATGATTTTTCTGGAATGAATGCGTAATGGGACACCCATTTTTTTTCAGTTTCCCTTACTTGTCTTACTTGTTAAGGCACACCTGTCTTGTGAGCAGACCGCATACCCTCCTCTAGGCACCTTGGGCCTGTAATCCTACATGAGCTGTAATCTACACGCCTGAAAGGGGGTTATAATATGGAGGATTATATAAGGTTCCCATTATGGGGCTTATTGAGCGGTAGACTTGGAGTTTAGACTATGGCTTACATGAAGCCTCTTGCACAGGATCTAAAAGCACTTACCCCCCCCCCCTTCAGCCGACAAGGGCCTTCAGAGGGACCTAACCCAACCCTAAGCCCTACGACTTTAGCCACTACACCCGAACCCTAAGCCCAACGCCATAAGAACTACAGCCTCTAACCCTCAGCCCGACACCGTAAGAACTACAACCTAGCCCTAACCCTAAGCCCTACACCTTAAACCCTAGACCCTAATCCCTAACCCTCAGCTCTACACCCTAAGCCCTAGAGTCAACAGTAGGCGCTCAAAGGGGCTGCCCAACGCAGGATCCTGCCAAAGCTCTTCAAGGCCCTAGGGCGAAATACACACCTGCGAGATCTGCCGCTCAGCTTGAGTTGGTGCTTGCACATGCATGTGTACTGTGGTCTAAACTCCTTAAAGGGGGTTATATAGGGGACTCTTGTAGGGTTATTAAGGGGGATAATAGGAGTCTACGCAATGGCTCATGTGTCTATGTTATCTAGCTTGGGTTTTAGGTTGTAGGGTGTAGGGTTCAGGGTTCAGGGGTATGTGTAGAGATGTATATATATATACACATTTATGAAGGTGTGAAGGTGTGTGTGTGTGTATACATATGTATGTATGTATGTATGTATGTATGTATGTACGTACGCGCAGAAAATCTGCATGTATATACACGATGATATGTATACAGCAATGTGTTTATACGAAATATCAAATTCTTTCTCATTATTCAAAAGCATTTTGAGAATACCACAAAAAGCAGGAAGGCCTCTCTGGGTATCTATGTGTAGGTACATGCGGTTCAGAGTTTTGAGCTTGACGTTTACGGTTTAGGGCATAAGGTTACGATTGACGCTTTAGAACTTATTGCATTTTGAAAGAGGGTGCTTCTGAGGGACCATAAGGAGCGCCGATTTTTAGGTGGAGGGTTGGCGGCTAATGTCAAGAAATACCATGTAACGTCAAAAGTTGATAGGCTAAGGGTACAACTTTGATGAGTATAGTGTCTAACGGTGTGGATCATCAGAGGCTTAGGGTTCACGGGTTCGGGAGTACGGTTTTGTTTCCGGGGCTCGGGACTTATCAGGAAAATCTGCACCAAGCCTGCTTCGAAGAACCACCTAGCCAACAGCAACACCGCGACTGTAGGGGACGCGTTTGGCTTGATGAGAAGGGTTTCAAAGGCTCGTCATGTGCAGTCTTAGGCTACAGTCAGTTTGCACGAAATAATGCGTCTTCAGTTGAACCTCGACATTTTTGAATTTCGCTTGTTCTCGCCATCGTACGCAGCTGCTCCAATCAGTGTCGAAGTGAATTAGTGTCACACCAATGTTGCGAAGAAGCTTGGAGAGTAGACATAGGATTCCACATATCAATTTCGCTGAGTCCCCAATGCATTCCCTAAATAATTCCTTCATGGTACTCTCCATCCGTAGGGGACCCGCACTACAGACCTCCAAGGACTCTCGTCCCAAAAAGTCACCTCTTTTTATTTGTTTGGCAAATCCTCACATCCTCCACGTGATTGCGAGAGAGCACCTACAGCTCGATTGACTAACAGACCAGGTTGCTGGGAAACACTGGCCTGCTATCCAGCGAGGCATGGGGGTGTTTCTCAAACTTTTAACAAGAGGATTTTGGCACCCCCGAGTAGTACAGACCCGCAAATTGCAAGATTCACACGCAGGGTCCTCATTTTGGGGCTGGCTAGCCAAAATCAACTTACGCGCGCTTCTTTCTGGCTCCTCTAGATCGTGTTGAGGGGTAACAGGGGCAAGCCTGATTTTGAAAATGATCTTGTCAGATTGCAGTGGTAATTCCTGAAGACGTTTAGAGGTCCAAGTTCAGGGCGGGCTGCAGCTGCCTGGGCTGTCAGTGTTGGAGTTGAAACTTGCCTGGATGTGAGATGTTTTGGAAATCAGGCATCGTAGTCTGAGCTATAGTGGCAGTTTCTGTAGAAGAGTTCCTAAGAGTTGGGGGGAAATAGACCGCACAGACCTCTTGTCAGATTGGCTTGGGTTTGTTGAAGGTGTTTCCCAACACATGGACCCCAACAAGGATTCGAATAAATGCCTAAACCAGGTATCATTAAGCCAGCATTCAGAGCGCAACATGTGACTTGCGTGACGGCTCTTGTGCAACAAGCCTGTCAGCTGGGTGCTCTCTAGACTGTATGGAGGGCATGCGCAGGAGCTTTGTGCTGATTCCATTCTAGTGTCTTGTTTAGCTAAGTTCGGGACGTGTGCGGTTCTGTAACGGGTGTAAACTTGTGGTTGCACCTTTGGCCGTCTGGCTCTACACGCCATGTGCGTCGCGATGCATCCCAGCAAAAGGTATCTATGGCTTCAAGAAACGACAGATGAAGAATTCAAAGGTGCCAGCGCCCCGCATGGTCGAGAGTAGCTGGGAAGCATGATATGTGGCAAGTAATGCGCATGAGCTTTGGGAAAATGCGAGGATTCTTCTGGGGCATGGCAGTGTATCCGCAACACTATCCTGAGTGATAGATGACAAACTTGTCCAAAAGTTCACACACAACAGTATCCCTAAAAGTCCACGTATACAAATATTACCTACATTGGGCCCTAAAGTCTGTAGATATTACCTAAATCGGTCTATTTGGATCCCTAGGGTATTGATTCAGGGAAATCCCCCCTGGTACGAAGCGACTGGCCCGCGGCGTGCCGACGCGGCTCTGCGTGCTACAGGAGGCTTTTAGCTCATCAGCTTGCGTGGAAGGATTCAAACCTTTTTTGGATAGGCCCTTAGAAAAAAATGTTTCCACTGGTGGCTTCAGCAGGGGACTGTATACACGAACATGTTTCAAAGGGTTTTGGGGACCAACTCCAGTCTTTGTTGCAAACAAATGCATAAGTATGCGCCCTCATTTTCCCAGTGCTTGCCGGTCTTGGTGTGCTACAGCCTCTCATGCTTTTGCAAGGGTACTCGTGGCACTGACGGTAGTCTCCAGAAATGCAATGTCTTGCTGGGGGTTAGTAGGGAACAAGGGAATAAATGATATGGGGTCATACGATTCATAGCTTCATATACCCTACTATAACCCTAGCAGATACCTCATTGAAATGCAGTAGCTTCCATGGTCTCTTCCATTTTCCCTATGTAACCCCATATATTCCCTTATTCCCTAGTAACCATCGATAAGATGTTGTATGTCACAGCTAGCAGACAACAAAAGTCAACTCTGCAACCCCTATTTGCAGCTGCCCTTACTTTTCCAGAGTTTCATGTATGTATCACACTTGAGGTTGATTTCTGCGGTCCCCGCGATATACACCAAGAAATACTGCGCATCCATGTTCTCTAGACCATCACATCAAGCTTTCACGCCAGAAGCTGGGCTGCAGCGGGCTGCCTAAGCAGATGGGAAAAAGTACCCCTCTGGCTGATGCTTTCTTGCCCTTCTTGACAGTATCTCTCAGTCGTGTTGTTCAGGTTCTGCCTGATTGCAGAATACTGATTGTTTGGGGTTGATTGTCAGTGGCAG